CTAGCTAACAGAAACACAAACTCACTGACACACACAGACACTCACTCACTCACTAGCAGACACACACTAGCAGACACACACACACTCACTGACACACACACTCACAGGCAAACATACACACACAGTCAGACACACAAACACACTCACTAGCAGACACACTCACTCACTAGCTGACACACACACTCACTAGCAGACACACACTAGCAGACACAAACACTCACTGACACACACACTCACAGGCAAACACACTCACACTAACAGTCAGACACACACATACTAACAGTCACATACACACACACAAACACACTCACTAACAGACAGACACACTCACTAACAGACACACACACTCACTCACAAACAGACACGCACACTAACAGACACACTAACAGACACACACACTAACAGACACACTCACTGACAGACACACTCACTGACAGACACACTCACACACACACTAACAGACACACTCACACACACACACTAACAGACACACTCACACACACACTAACAGACACACTCACACACACACACACACACACACACACACACTAACATGCACACTAACACACACTAACAGACACGCTCACACACACATACACACACACACACACTAACAGACACACTAACACACACACTAACAGACACACTCACACACACTAACAGACACACTCACACACACACACACACACACACACTAACAGACACACTAACAGACACACTCACACACACACACACAACAGACACACTCCACACACACACACACACACTAACAGACACACTAACAGACACACACACGTACACTAAATGACACACTAACAGACACACTAACACACACACACACACACTAACAGACACACTAACAGACACACACACACACACACTAACAGACACACTAACACACACACTAACAGACACACTCACACACACACACACACACTAACAGACACACACGCACACACACACACACACACACACACTAACAGACACACTCAAAGACACACACACTAACAGACACACTCACACATTTATTTTTTTTAACCCCCCTCCCCCTCCAGCCTCCTTACCTTTGGGAAAGCTGGGGGGGGGGGTTCCCTCTCTCCCGGGGGTCCAGTGGCTGCTGGGCGCTGGGCGGGTGGTTGGCAAGGGAGCATTTCCTCTGAGCGGTCTGCTCAGATCCCTCGCACGCCGCAGAGTGAGGCTGGGAGCCGGAATATGACGTCATCAACCCGGCTCCCAGCCTCACTCTGCGGCGCGCGAGGGAGCTGAGCAGACCGCTCAGGGGAAGTGCTCCCTCGCCAGCAGCCGCCCGCCCAGCGCTGCCCACCCGCTCGGCATATACAATACAACAATAGTGCTTGAAGTAAAAACAAACAGTAAAAAGAGTCCCTCAGACAAAAAAAAGTACTGGAATGTAAAAGAACAAGCATAAGTTTAACATACAATTTGAAGACTTTGTTATGGAAAATAAAAATGTATCGCAGGAATAACATGAGATAAGTAACTGTTTAGTAGAGGAGGTTGACACTCAGGAAATGTAAATAAACGTATACAGCTCTCCATGAGAAGCTAGGCAAGGCCTAGGCAGAACAGGGACATGTGAGTGTGAGGGTAGTGTATTCAGAGGAATGTGGTAAAGTGGTACTGGGATAGTGAGTGGAGTAGTAAGGGGTAGATGGGTGGGGTAGTATAAATAGGTTGCCATCTTACAGGATAGCAGCCATCTTAATTATCAGTTGGTAACAGCATGGCAATTGCTGGTTGTTGAGCTCATTATACCTGCTTTCCAAGTGCTGTTTGTGGCCAGGGTGGGGATATTGAAGCTGTCCTCCCTGCCCTCAAGATGGGGCTCTGCACCTGCAGGCTCAGCTGGCTCGTCTTCAGGCCTCTGCGGCTGTTGCCGCCTTCCCTCCCAGCATTAGGGGAGGTTCCCGGAGACAAGTTCGGCCATCTGAACATTTCGCCCATCAAAGGGAAGTTACGGGCCCTCCTGGGCTCAGGAGTGCAGGTCTGGCCTCGCGGATGTACTGGTTTGCAGCCGCGAGGCTTGCATCACTTCCATTGCAGGCTTGTGTCACTACCTGGGCAGCGGGGCGGTCTGCTGCTGTCCACGCCCACTTATCACCCTCGTCGCCAGCCCTGTGCAGCAGGAGCTTCTTCTCCTTCTTCTCGGGCCAGCTGGCCCACGGCTATGTGGACTGATAGTGCTCCGGCACAAGCTGAATCTCCTTCTGCGGCTGCTGAAAGTTTTCCTTCGGCCTTGTCTTCATCGGCAGACCCGCCACGTGGGTCCTGTGGCCCAGGCGGGTGGAGTGGTGGACAGGCCTCCAGGCGGGTGAGTAGGCTAAAGGGTGTTGCCCGGGGGCAGAGGCATCCCCTCCTGAAGTTGGGGTGGCGGCTGGGAGTAGTGTGAGGTGTCTGTCTCCTACCCATTCCCGTGGTAGCTCTGCTAGCCCCCTGCCTGGGGGTGTTTTCTGGACCTACCAGGCACCCCCTGCCTTCCCCGTCCCCCTGGGGTGGGCCTGTCATTCTGTGTCAAGGGTGGAGGGATGTGATTTCACCTGTTCTTCTCCCCAGGTGGCTCTTGATCGGGCCATGTTCCAGCCCTTATTAAGTGCTACGCCGCTATCGCTCCCTATGGAGGTCGCAGCTCCGGCCAAGCCTCCAGTGGTTACGCCTCCGTGTGGCAAAGATGCCTCTGCCATGTGTTTCTGGAGGGGCCTGCTGGATAGCCTCCTGCCCAAAGACTATGGGCCATGTAAAAATACATGTTTAAAGTTTACTTCCATGGAAAATCCAAACCACTTTTTGATTTTTGGATATGATGGTCACTCAGATCAGGGCTTTCTGGGGATGTGACTTTTGAGGGGTTTCCATGGATTTTGGGGGTACTTTTGGGGTGTTGTGAAATTGTATGTGTTTATCTCTCAGGCACAGAGGAGGAGTATGTTGAATGTATTGATTGTATGTGCCTCGCCCCTCCCCCTTTTTCCTGTCCTATTGTTTCCCCAGCAGGGTGTTGTTCCAGGGACACTGCCAGAACAGTTTAAACTAGCTGCTTTGTCCCTCCACAATCTCCCATCAGCCCTTGCTATTGTCTGACCCCACCCTTCCTTATACTCTAGTGCTCTATGTTCCCCATTGTATGTAAACAAGGCTGTTGGGGGTTTAAATGTGTGTATAAACTGTGAGTGCTTGCCTGCATTAAACAGATCTACTCCCAGCATTAAGTCTCAACTAATGTGTGTGTGGGGGGGGGGGGGCACGGGGGGACACTTCTCTGCATCAGCCTTGCCCAGGCACACTGGTTGCTGCTGGCAATACAATGAAAGTCAGTGTAAATGGGGCCCAGTTACATGTTGTGGGGGTTCTCACTCAGCCTCCCACTGTTTTATGTGGGGCAAAGCCCGTGAGTGCAGGGATACCATGGTCTCAAAAGGCGAGGATGCCGGTGGACGGTGCCGCGATGCTCCCATGGCTAAGCTGTTGTAGGAACCGTCGGGTGATTTTGTGATGGATTTTGGATTCCCCACCAGGTGAGGGATTCTTCTGGGGTTTGTCGGAACCTCAAGTTGGTAGTGGTGGCTGCCAAGCTCAATAAGGAGCAGTCTCTTAGACGGATGACTAGCCGGGTCTCGGCCCCACCCCTCCCTAACCTACATGTCTCCCCGTTAGGGGTGGTGCCTAAGAAGGAGTGTGACAAACTCCCCTTTTCCTGTGAATTTTGCCACAAGTTTTTGGAGGGGCCTGTTTGCCAGCCTCCTACTTGACTATGGCCCCTGCAATAGTCGTGGCTAAAATACTTTTAAAAGGCTCTGTTCATGTGAAGTATGTACTTTTGTAAGCCAGACAGAGAGACCAACCATTAGCCCTAATTCTCTGGAACTGTTTTGGGCATGGGACCATGTGCATGGTTGGTCAAAAATAAATGACTTCCAGGAAATTTCTGAACCCCTGAACTGATCTGGGTGATTTTTGGATATGTTGGTCACCCAGATCAGGGCTATCAGGGCTATCATGGGGTTTTATGTATTTTTAGGGTACTTTTGGGGGTGTTTTTAAAAAGTATGTTTTTTTTTCTGTGCTTGGAGATAATTGGATTAGAATTAGTACAGCTACTGATCCAATTATCTCCAAAGCAGAGAGGAGGGATTGTATGTTTGTTATGGGAGTTTTGGGCATTTAATCACTATTCTTATTGGTCTGTGTCTTTGTGTTGGAGTCCCCAACAAGGTCCATTTGGGCGTACCCCTTGCATGGGGATTGACATAAAAGACCAGTGTGGAACCATTAAATAGAGATTTGTTTACCCCTTCATGAAGTCTTGGCTCATGTTTGGGAGATTGGAGAACTACATTCACTCAGGGGATTGCTATAATCACTATACTCCCCACTAGCTCTTATAAGAACTGTTCCTGTTATGCTTTCTGGACTAGGAGAGCTCTAACCATTGGAAGCTGGATCCTGGTCTTGGGTGGGTGGAGGACGGCGAGACCCCAACCAAGCTGCGGGGATTCGTGGGGTTTACGATGGTTATGGTGTTCCACTGCAGTGCTTATGGTACTCGCAAGTACTAGGAAGCAGTGATTGACGGAGGTACCTGGTCGGGGTGCCTGGCGGTCCGTCACAAGGAGCTGGGTACGTTTCAGCTGATTCAACATTTGTCTTACCCCTTCGTGAGTTCGGTGAATAGTGATTGTAACGGATCGCCTGGCACCCCGACTGGGTACCTCCATTGAAGGATGCTCCTAGCGCTTCTTGAGGACTCCAAGCACTCTGGCAGACACCACAATCACCGAACCGGAGAAACAAATAAATTCTCCCAAGCATATGAATGCTGTAGACAGTTGAATAGGAACCATATGAATAGGTTTACTCTCCTAGCAGTCAAACTGGAACAGCATACAATAAATCCTTCCCCCTAGAATGAGACGACACTTCACTTTGAGGGTTAAAACACGAAGTCCCTGTACTGTCACATACAGTCTCTTTTATTCTCAATCCACAAACATAGTACAGCCCACAGGGTGTTACAAAACAACCAATCAATCCGTACAATACACCCAGACACTCCCACACAAAATCCTCCCCTCTGCCTGTGATATGATTACTGAACACAATGGGTAATCTCATTATCACCGGCAGAGGAATACAGTTTTTACACAATATTTATAACTTCTAAAATATACATGTCACAAACATAAAACATACATTTTCATAATCAATCCATTCAGGGGAACAACATATTAAAAAATGGCACGAATCAGACCAGGGGTTCAAAAGTTAAGGGAAAGTCCTTTGTGACTAAATGAAGCATGGCTTTCCGGCCCAAACCAGTTTCAGAGTCTTCTATCCTGGAGATTGAATTGAGAAGTAATTCAATTATCTCCCAGGACAGACACAAGACTCCATTATGCACATGGTGAGCACAAAGCATTAAAATATTATAAAATACACAAAGTCACATTTTATACATAAAACACAGACATGTCACATATCCCCAGATAGCTGGGATCTGAGCGCACAAAACTACCGAATAGCGCTCAGATCCTATTCACACAGTTCAATTGCCATGGAGCCGAAGTCTTTAACTACACAAATGGGCTCCATGGCATAGCTATCTGGGTTAACACATTCACATAAAGTCTGATCCATAGTCCAAAGGCAAGAGGCGGGCAAGCAGCCCCCTCCAAGGACACGTGGCGAGGTCAGTTTCGCCACATTTCTCCCCTTTACCATCCAGACTAACAGGGTATCTGATCTCCTGCCGGTCAGTGCCCTGGTTAGTCCAGCAACCCACCCACGAAGCACAAACAGCAATACAGCCCATGTGTGTTGGTCCTTCTGGTTCGAATGTGTGTGTTCACACCTTCTCCGAACACTGCAATCAGTTGCTCAGTTCTTGGTGGTCCCACTTGCCCCAGACAAGACGGTGGACCCTTCCACTTGTGTGAGCTTCTTGTGGATTGAGATTGATTCAGTTGCTGGGGAATATCGTTTGCCAGAGGATATGTGTTTGGAACTGAGCAGCTTGGTTTCTGCCACCAGGTCCCTCAGCAAGATTCAATTGCAACACCTACAGTTGCTCTGGGGTATGCTGCAATGTGCGTGCTGGATTATCCCTATGGGAAGTGTAACGGACCGTTTTGCACACAAGGGGTAAAAACCATTTAGGCGATCGTCCCCCTTTCCAGAGATGCAGGCACAGCTACTGTAGAACACCAAACACACGAACCGCCAATAAGTGAATGCTCCACACTCCCGAACGGCATCCAATATAGCACTCCAAACACACGAACTGGAACCATACGAATCACTCAAGCAGACAAATAGGAAAAGCATCCAAGCGGCTTACACTCCTAGCAATCAGTCTCTATCAGCATTCAGTAAATCCCCCCAAAGACGAGACAAGGCTCCGTGTTGAGGGTCAAGCAGTGGTCTGTTTAATGAAGGCTACCTGCGCAGTATTTATGCAGGTCTCCCACCTGGTGGACACAACCCCTAGGGTACCAAATGGGAGACTGTGACAAGGGACAGACAATCAGCAAAATAGGACACACAGTCACATTGTATTCCCACAATGCATCCTGGCTTCCTCCCCTCTGCCTTGGAGATAATTGAGAAGTAATTCAATTATCTCCCAAGACAAAGGCAAATTGCCATTATGCACGTGGGGATACTAACACAGGAATTACTATTAAAATACACTATGTGAGACACATAACATTAAAAGCATACATTTAACATATCCCCAGATAGCTCAGGTCTGAGCGCACATTATTAAGCGAATGGCGCTCAGACCACACGAATACAGTTTAATCGCCATGGAGCTAAAGTCTTTACACAGTCAGTTTCATGCGAATGGGCTCCATGGGATTCCTATCTGGGGTATAACACATTCAAGCAAAACTACCGAACACCGGGCCGTTCTTGCACTTTCACCGAACAAGAAGGGAGGTCGGCGGCTTCAGCGGTTTTCGCGCAAAACTGTGTCCGATTTCAGTTCCATGAATTAAGCGTCGAACACCGCTGTGCATTCGCATGTTTAAAATGGCCGCGACCTCGTGTTCATGATACGAATGGCGGCCACCCAGTATTCGTCAATTAAGCTGCGGTTAACCGCAGCTTCAGGGAGGCTAATTGCCGGCACACTCCAGCTCCCAGGTGGTCCAGTCACTTGTGCGGTTGTTCGGTAGATTGAATCTACCGAACACCAGGCAGAAAAGCACGAATAAGTCTTTTCTGCAGGTAAAAGGATGTCTTTTAACAGGGGGCCATAGTCCAAAGGCAGCAGGTGAGCAACCAGGCTTCTCCAATGCAATGTGGCAAGATTGGTCTTCTCACATCTCTCCCCTTTTCCAAACAGACTAACAGGGTATCTGACCTCCTGCCGGTCAGTGCCCTTGTTAGTCCAGCAGCCCACCCACAAAACACAATCAACAGCACAGCCCACCCACAGTAAATGGTTACTACACCTGGGTAGAGGAGAAGCTTGTCCATGTCCAGGTGCCTCACCACGGCTGTGCTGGGTACGGGTATGCTGACTTGGTGGGTTGCTGCGTGGGCAGAGACTAGCAGTACTCTGCCCTGTTGCCAGCGCTACTGGGAAGGTAGCCTGGTAGAAGCCTGGTTGTTGGAGGGGGAGACCGACTGTCTCCCCTTTAGATACACAGCCCTGCTGCTGGAGACCGACTGTCTCCCTTTTAGATACCCGGCCCTGCTGCTGGAGACCGACTGTCTCCCCTTTGGACACACAGCTCTGCTGCTGGAGACCGACTGTCTCCCCTTTGGCTAAACAGCCCTGTTGCTGGGGGGCAGACCCGACTGTCCCTACCCCCTGTGCTGGACGTGCAGAGACCACGGTCCGATCTGCACAGTTGTGGGGCTTACTGTCTCCCCTGGGTACATTGAGCTGCCGCTGGGGAGAGGGGGTAACAAGCTCCTCTCCCATATATACTTCCAGCCGCGGGGGAGGGAGACCGACTGTCTCTGCTCCCAATTCAGAGTCTTGCTGCTGGGGAAAGGAGACTGGGCTCTCTATTCCCGGTAGGACACTCTGCCGCTGGGGAATGGAGACTGGGCTCCCAATTCCCAATAAATCATTCTGCCGCTGGGGAAAGGAGACTGGGCTCCCAATTCCCAATAATTCGTACTGCCGCTGAGGAATGGAGACTGGGCTCACAATTCCCTGTAATTCACACTGCCGCTGGGGATCTGAGCCGACTGCCCAGCATCCCTGTACCTCTCCCTGCAAGGTACACTGCTGCTGGGGAACAGGACCACTTGTCTCTGCCCCATGTAACTCAGCCTCCCGCTGGGGAATGGAGCTCGGGCTCCCAATTCCCTGCAATATCTCCCGCTGGGGAATGGAGCTTGGGCTCCCAATTCCCTGCAATATCTCCCGCTGGGGAATGGAGCTCGGGCTCCCAATTCCCTGCAATATCTCCCACTGGGGAATGGAGCTCGGGCTCCCAATTCCCTGCAATACCGGTGGAGAGACCTCGGTCCCATCTCCACCCGCCACCTGGGGTTCTTCCCAGTAATCCTCCTCAATATCTACCCAGCTGAATGGGTCTGGATCTGGGTCTCCGCTTCCCTGCTGAGCCTTCTCACTGGAGTGAAACAGATCTTGGTAGCCCTGCTCCAGCTCCATCTCTCGGGTCACCAGGTGGACCAGGTCTTGCTCAATTTCGTGAGTGTCTTCCCAGTCATACCTGCTCTCCCTCCACTCCAAGAGATCACTGAACCGGGCTTGTGTAGGGCTCCCAAACTCAGGCTCTGCAAAAGACTCCCATAACAAGCCAGGACCATCAAACTCCTCTCCCTCTGGCTTGTCATGCTCGGCTGTCCAGGGCAGGTACTGTGCCCCATACCACCAGAGCGCCTGGTAGGCATCTTCCAGCCAAATCTCCTGCCATACTCGGAGCTCCAATTCCTTCACCCATTCATCCAGGGGCTGCTCTCCCAGAAAGGGCATCCGCATGGCTACTCGCTTCTGCAGTCGCTGGCCTTCCTTGGGGAGTCTCTCGCCCCGCTGGTACTCCACAATACCCAGTGCCTGGTACCAGATGCCTTTGCGCAGCGCTTCTCGGTCATCCAGGGCACCCTCGTCATACTCCACTGCTGGTTCCATCTCGGTGCTGTCAGGGTCGCTGTACTGGGACATGCGTTGCCCTCAAATTGTAAAAATCCACGGAATGGTGTCGCCTGTAGCTGTCCTTTTGTCTGTGGGAACGATCCCGCCGCTTGCCACCAATTGTAACGGACCGTTTTGCACACAAGGGGTAAGAACCGTTTAGGCGATCGTCCCCCTTTCCAGAGATGCAGGAACAGCTACTGTAGAACACCAAACACACGAACCGCCAACAAGTGAATGCTCCAGACTCCCGAACGGCATCCAATATAGCACTCCAAACACACGAACTGGAACCATACGAATCACTCTAGCAGACGAATAGGAAAAGCATCCAAGCGGCTTACACTCCTAGCAATCAGTCTCTATCAGCATTCAGTAAATCCCCCCAAAGACAAGACAAGGCTCCTTGTTGAGGGTCAAGCAGTGGTCTGTTTAATGAGGGCTACCTGCCCAGTATTTATGCAGGTCTCCCACCTGGTGGACACTCCCCTAGGAGACCAAATGGGAGACTGTGACAAGGGACAGACAATCAGCAACATAGGACACACAGTCACATTGTATTCCCACAATGCATCCTGGCTTCCTCCCCTCTGTCTTGGAGATAATTGAGAAGTAATTCAATTATCTCCCAAGACAAAGGCAAATTGCCATTATGCACGTGGGGATACTAACACAGGAATTACTATTAAAATACACTATGTGAGACACATAACATTAAAAGCATACATTTAACATATCCCCAGATAGCTCAGGTATGAGCGCACATTATTAAGCAAATGGCGCTCAGACCACATGAATACAGTTTAATCGCCATGGAGCTAAAGTCTTTACACAGTCAGTTTCATGCGAATGGGCTACATGGGATTCCTATCTGGGGTATAACACATTCAAGCAAAACTACCGAACACCGGGCCGTTCGTGCACTTTCGACGAACAAGAAGGGAGGTCGGCGGCTTCAGCGTTGTTCGAGCAAAACTGTGTCCGATTTCAGTTCCATGAATTAAGCGTCGAACACCGCTGTGCATTCGCATGTTTAAAATGGCCGTGACCTCGTATTCATGATACGAATGGCGGCCACCCAGCATTCGTCAGTTAAGCTGCGGTTAACTGCAGCTTCAGGGAGGCTAATTGCCGGCACACTCCAGCTCCCAGGTGG